CTATCTTCATCGTTTTGGTAATCTAAAATGCAACTATATTTCTTTATGAAATCTTGGCTTAGAATTCCATCACATGGGATTGGAAAATTATCTTCTACTATGTGAAATTTATGTCGGATTAATAGATCATCACCCTTTAAGTCTGCTTTAGCTCTTCCGAAAGTGCTTGTTATACCTTGACCAAAGCCTCTTAAATCTGTTTTCTGTGAATTGTTAATGGTGATATTGTTTTTAATTTTTACGCGTGGGATTTTCGCTGTGAGTGCTTTAAGTGCACATACCAATCAAAAAAATTTAAAAGTTTTTGCAAAACGGTCAGAAAGTCCACGATATAAAAAAGAAGTAATTTCGGCCAAATATCCGTTTTATGGTTATCTTAACCGGCTATAAAAGGGCGGACCTCAGTCTATAAAGTTAAGAGACCACAAAATAATGCAATTTGCCAGGTTAGGCATATTGGAGGGTCTCTGGATACCAATATACTTTGGTTTCCAATTAAAAATTACTGCTTTTTCCCCACAAAGAAAGTGACTGGACATTATGTAAGACACTGAAATAAGTTGTTGCAGCACAAAGATAAAGACGAGAAAGCATGCATTGACAACCAGAAACACTTTTTGTCAGAAACGCATTTTTACCAAGAAAAAACGTTGGATTGGTATTATTTTGAAGCGAGCGTTCNAAAGATAAAGACGAGAAAGCATGCATTGACAACCAGAAACACTTTTTGTCGGAAACGCATTTTTACCAAGAAAAAACGTTGGATTGGTATTATTTTGAAGCGAGCGTTTACAAGTTCTTCACAAATGGCCACTATATTCCACCAAGATTTAATATTAACTGATATTTTAACTCTGAGGATAAAACTAAATGTTTCCAATCGGAATATTGGTTCAGGTGCTGTGGAAGTACATCAGGGATACGCATAACCCCCCAAAATATTTAAAACATTAGATTTGTATGTGTACATTTAATTAAGTAGAGCCGTGTTACGCCTTAGTGAACAGGAACTGTGGTAAAATCGATGGTAAAAAGAAAAGTGAAAATAAATGAACGTTTTCAAGAAATTTTGCAATTTCTGAGGATATTTATCAATTTTAGGATTGTATAAATTTTAACAGGACAATGATCAGAAACATTCTGCGAAACTCTGGCTAAACAGGTATAAATCCCAAGTTTTTATAATCATGGAGTAAAACTGCGCAAAGCCCAGATTTGAGTCTGACAGAAAACTTATGGAAGTGTTTGAAAAAGCCACTGTTCAATGGCGAACACTCACCCAATCGCATACAAGACTTTGGGCATGGCGTTGAGGAAAACCGGTACGCAATCTCAAGAGATTTCGTCTCAAAACTGTGCGAAAGTTTCCCAAGATGACCACAAAAGTTGAAATATTCAAATTGGTGATGGCCAAATAATTAAAAGTCCAGCAAATGTTAAAATTTTCTAGCGGGTGCAAAACTGAAACAATCCAGTTGCCACGTTTTTTGCAATTTTCTTCTTTATCTGCTTGTATTAATTATTGTTATTATGGTCTCCTGATGAAATAAACATTGGAAATGTGAAATCCGAAGCTAGATTACAAAAAAGCCTTCTTATATTGCGAATATATCGCAAGAAAATTCACTTTATGTATGAGATTTTGGTCCTCAGTGTATACCTTTTCATCGGTAATGCAGTCACCATACGAATTCAGATAGGAATCCAATTAAAATTGAATAAGAACTTATTTGAATTAATACGGTAACTGCTTTACCGACGACGAGGTGAATGTCCACACTAGGTAATTTTGCTATTTCTTTGTGTTCTACGTTCCCTGAGCAAACAAAGCAGCCAACTACTTAATAGGCGGTAGCCGAGTGGTGGTGTTCTATCTCCCCTGCTCTGGATTGCGGTTGCAAGCGACCTTATAGAGGAACTGGAAAAAGTGAGCTGTCGGGTAATCGCCTATGTAGATGATGTGCAACTTTTGGTTAAGGGACGATTTCTATATACCGTTTTACATTACACATACATATGCACATTGGCTTAGCTTAGCAAAATGTGCTTATGAGAGAATGCAGTGTAAGCAGAAATACAAGCGGACATTATTTTGAGCCTTGATTTGTTTATGTAAGTTTCTAAATAGGTTCATTATACTTTTGACTCGTGTGGATATATAAATATGTATTTTGGATATACTACAAAGGTGCCTCTTCCCGGCTGGTTGATTGCCCTCGGGAAGACAAAGTCTGACATCACCACCATCCAAGAAATGCGATAGACTGGGCAAGGTGAGGTAAACGTGTGGCCTTGCAACGTGTACTACAGTTGCCACGTAAAGGAGCGCAAACTCGGTGCTGTATTTGTGGTGGGGGAGATACTCCTTCGCCGAGTACTGGCGTTCACCCCGGTGGAAGAACGTCCAACCTAGGGCTGCCAGGCGTCCTGGTTTTCCAGGATTTGTCCTGATTTAAACAAAATGTCCTGGTGTCCTGGTCCACACTTAAATTGTCCTGGTTTTTTAATGAAGGTCAATGCAGACACAATTTTTTACAGATTATTGCTTTGAAAAAAAAGGTTAAGCTTTTTGTCATTAGTAGTCGAAAATCGATAATGAAAAAGTTTTTCTAACATGTTGAACAATATCTGGTGTGTTTACCTTCTTTCTGTTTAGTATATTTGGTTAAACTCTAATGCTGGATTTCCACTAGGCATTAAATGGCACAAATGACAAATTCACTTGAAAAATTCTATAAAAAAACTTAACCATATATACCAGTTCTGAGAGGATTAGACAACAGATAGAAAAGTCGAAACGAGTCTTTCTTATGAAAGTATTAAATATAGAAATTACGCAAACAAACATTAATATAAAACTAACTAAAGATCTTTTAAATCAGGCGCAACAACAACTAAAACATGANGAAAAATTCTATAAAAAACTTAACCATAAATACCAGTTCTGAGAGGATTAAACAACAGATAGAAAAGTCGAAACGAGTCTTTCTTATGAAAATATTAAATATAGAAATTACGCAAACAAACATTAATATAAAACTAACTAAAGATCTTTTGAATCAGGCACAACAACAACTAAAACATGATTTAAACGAGCTAGAATTCAACACGTTCGTTAATAAGCAAAATTTTCTTGGTCAGAGGATCGCAGAAAAGAAGAGGGTGACTCTCCACTCAAAAATAAATAAACTTAAATATGAACAAGTCCAGAAATTGGGAATCAAAACAGACAACAACTGGTTCGTTACNCAAACAAACATTAATATAAAACTAACTAAAGATCTTTTGAATCAGGCACAACAACAACTAAAACATGATTTAAACGAGCTAGAATTCAACACGTTCGTTAATAAGCAAAATTTTCTTGGTCAGAGGATCGCAGAAAAGAAGAGGGTGACTCTCCACTCAAAAATAAATAAACTTAAATATGAACAAGTCCAGAAATTAGGAATCAAAACAGACAATAACTGGTTCGTTAACAACACAACAATCGAATTTCCCGAAGAAGTAAAGTGGATACTCTCACTTGGTAGAAAATTCACCTTACCAACAACTAAATCGAATTTCTCACCAATACATACAATAGCGGAAATGGAACAACTAATGCAATCACTGGAGAATGAAAAAGAAAAAGTNCCTTACCAACAACTAAATCGAATTTCTCACCAATACATACAATAGCGGAAATGGAACAACTAATCCAATCACTAGAGAATGAAAAAGAAAAAGAAATAGCCAGAAATAAAGTGAGCAGCAGAATCCTACTGTTCAAACGCAATATTAAGCATAACTCAGCGGAGAAATTTATTTTAGCAGCTTTTTACAAAGCAAAGGCGTTCGTCAAGCTACACAAAAACAATGTTGTTATTACTGATGCCGACAAAGGAAACAAAACAGTAGCTATATATAAAACAGAGTACCTGGAGAAAATGAATAAATTAATAGAAGACAAAAACACGTACAAAACAATAACAAGTGACCCCACAAACACTTTCCAAAGAAAGAACAACAAAATAGTGGACGAACTTTACAAAGGCAAGCACATCAACTTTAGAGAAAAACAACAACTCACATGCACGGCAGGCACATTGCCAAGACTTTATGGATTGCCAAAAATTCATAAGCTAGATGTTCCTCTTCGTCCTATTGTTTCTTCTTTTATGGTCCCCTGTAATAAAATGTCAAAATACATCGGAGATATTTTGAAAATATTATTTTCGGAAAAATACAACGTGAATAATGCATTCAACCTAAAAGATAAACTAGCCAATATATGTGTGTGTGATGAAGATGTATTAGTGTCGTTCGATGTCGTCTCCTTGTTCACAAATTTACCAACAATGTTAGCCTCAAAAATCGTAATGAATAAATGGGACCAAATTCAACATAAAACTAATATTCCGAAAAATAAGTTCCAAGAAATGTTAAGTTTTTGCCTAAATGACAATAACTATTTCATGTTCAACAAAAAACTATATTCGCAAACGTTTGGAATGCTAATGGGCAGGGAACGGATTTTTAGGACCTAAAAACCTATAAAAAAGGCAAAATAAAATAAGGAAATAGGCTGGAAAAGGCAAAATCAAATAGGAAAACGGCAGGAAAAGGCACTAGGTGTTGCAAAAAAGGCAAAAAAAGGCAAAACAATATAGCGAAAAAGGCAGGAAAAGGCACTAGGTATTTGCAAAAAAAGCAAAATATGGCTGTTGCGAAGACATTAATAGTAATACGAACCTTGTTATAAAATTCAGGTTAAGTTAAAAACCGCGTGTCTTTTCTTCAAAGTTCAGAATTCAAGAGAGAGTTTATTACAAAAAGCAATGTTCAGTTTTACATTACAGGGTTGCAAAGCGTAAAAACAATTCAATGTTCAGTACAACATTACAGAGCTACAAAAGTCAGTAAGAAAGTAAAATACTATGCAATAATATTGAACATTCTCCGCAGCAAAAACGAAGTTTTTAAGGTTCATCATGTCAGCGAGAAACAAGCTGGCTAAGTTACAAAACATCGGCAGTGGTGTCAGTGTTACCATTGATGGGCAGCAAACAAATTTTAGAAATCGGCCGCTTCACAAGTTTGCCATTACAGAAAAGCGTAACGACCCTTACTAGACCATCTGCACCGGGATGTATCTCATGCACTCTCGCCAACGGCCAATAGCCAGGAGCGCTACGCTCATGTTGCAGCAAAACGATGTCGTTGACGCGAAGATTTTTTTGAACTTGTGTCCACTTGGTGCGAGTTTGTAGAGTGTGTAAGTATTCGTTAGCCCATCGATGCCAGAAATGTTGCTTTAGGCGCTCAACTAGTTTCCAGCGGGTCAGGTGGTCGATATTAGAGTCAAGCAGGCTCTCCTCTGAGACGCAAGTTGTGGGTTCACCTACAAGAAAGTGTGCAGGTGTCAACGCTTGATGATCAGTGGGATATGCTGACAATGGGCAGAGCGGCCGAGAATTCAAGCAACTTTCAATTTGTGCAAGAAGCGTGCTGAGTTCTTCAAAAGTAAGCACCCGATCTCGCATTATTCGTCTTAGATGATGTTTAGTCGACTTAACCGCCGCTTCCCATAAGCCTCCGAAATTTGGTGAAGCGGGCGGAATGAAGTGCCATGTCGTACCTTCATTTGCAAGTGCGGCAGCAAGATGTTCGGGGAGCGAAACCTTTTGCTGCTGAAAGGAAACCTTTAGCTCTTTGTTAGCCCCTACGAATGTAGTACCGCAATCAGAGTATAAATCGCTGCATCGACCACTCCTTGATACAAAGCGACAAAATGCGGCGATAAAGGCGTCAGTATTTAAGCTTGAAACTACTTCAAGGTGTATGGCCTTCGTGCACATGCAAATGAACAGGCAGATATAGCCTTTTGTGGTTGCCGCTTTGCGAAGTAGTGAAAGCTTTAGTGTTATGGGACCAGCGTAGTCGAGTCCACTGTGCTGAAACGGTTTGGTTGGTTGAAGACGAACTGCGGGTAAATTTCCCATTTGCTGCTGATGCACCTTCGCTGTGTATTTGAAACAGATTACGCATTTACGGAGCACGGATTTTGCTAAGCTGCGCGCTGATAGAATCCAGTAACGTTGAGAGACAAATGAAAGCATCTGCTGAACGCCGCCATGTAGAGTTTGGTGATGAGCGTTTGTGAATATTAGAAACGATAAAAAAAAAAGCAGAATATACACAGGCAGATTTGTCTGTACTACATGTCAAATATGGCATACCGTCGAATCGTGGATAAGCGGATGCGCATACCAAATTCTAGGTCTGCAGATATGTATGAAGAAAATTTTAATTTTAAAATTTTTCTGCTCGTTGTTGCGACAGGTATGAACGTTTAAAGTACACAATGAAGACAGAACTTCATATTTGTATAGAAAAGTACAAACCCAGCAAACATTTGGAGTCACAAATAAGTAAATTTTATTTTTTTAAACTGATTCACATTATATCTTTACAGAAGACTATAAGGATTAATCATTAAAATAATAAATTTTAATAGTAAATTTAATTAATAAGTAAATTTTATCTTTTTAAACTGATTCACATTATATCTTTACAGAAGACTATACGGATTAATCATTAAAATAATAAATTTTAATAGTTTTAATTTTTTATTAATACGTTCATACAAATATCATATCGTCGGTCCCTACGAAGAGTAGCACATTTCAATATTCTCGTGGAAGACTAGCACATTTCACTATTAGCGTGGAAGACTACCACATTTCACTATTAGCGTGGAAGACTACCACATTTCATTATTCGCGTCGAAAAGTAGCACATTTTAGATTTTTGCGTGGAAGAGTAGCACATTTCAGATTTTCGCGTGGAATAGTAGCACATTTTATTATTTGCGTGGAAGACTAGCACATTTCAGATCTAGCGTTTAGTGATCATGTGCTTGAGATCATACACTTTTCTTTTTGAAATGAAACTTCTTAGGCGGTGGTATCGCAAAAATGGAGAGTGAGATTTTTAAAACTGAAAATGTTACATGAGTGAGAAGGAAGATATAGGTAGTATAGGGAAGGGGAAAAAAGAAATAAAGCGACGCATGACGGGTACGAGTACCTAGATATGTATATATGTATGTTTGAATGCACGTATGTATGTATACATATATTTATGTGTAAATATATATGTATGTACCGTTACCAAGCAATATATGTATAATAGGGATGTTCCGATACAAGTAAATACGAGTACGTACTCGATACTTTTGTTTCGATACCAACTACTTTTTTTACTCGAATCGTTGTATCGATTCGTACTTGGTATCGAAAGAAAAGTACTTGTATCGAATCGATTTGAGCAAGTGCCATATCTTGGCAGCGTCGTTTTTATGAAAAATAATTGCTTTAAGCAATGACACCGCCAAAATCTAAAGTATGGATTTATTTTTACAAAATTACTGATACCACAGCAAAGTGCCAGGAATGCTTTAAAACCGTAAAGTTTTGTGGGAACCTTTCAAAGGTTGAAATTGTTCTCTAATTAATGAATAAATATACATATCGTTACTAATGACGAAATACACATATCGACACCTTAGTGGAAGATCGATCTATCTCGGCAGTCAGTTCGAAAACGCCGTATCTCAGAAAACTATTCAAGAATGCCCTATTTCCGAAATTGATTGAAAAACGCCCT